ATAATATAATAGTAATTGTATGATTAATAATTTTTATAATAAATCATGAACAATGAAGTTATATAATAACAAATTGGCATTAGGTATTTTATAACTAAATTTACAATATATTTTCTAAGTGACCTAGACTAATCGTTAAGTTTATTGTCTCGTCAAATATATTATCTATGCATAATATTTCGCAACAAAATTAGAACCGCAATAATTTGAATACGTTTCTTTTTTTTTTTATTTAATTTTTCATGGACTTACGATCGCTTTTTTTATAGTTTTCTATAGACATGCACATGTGTGCATATGCTAAATGTGTTCAGTTAGTTCAACATAGCTTAAGATAAATGATGACATTTCTATCGATTTGACTAAATTATTATTATATTGTACTAAAATGTAAAATTTTCGACTGCGTTTGATTATAAATGTATATATTTCGCACCGGGATACAAGACATGATTCATCGGGCATGTATATAACTATATGTTTTCACATTTCGTTCATTGCCGGTTTTATCGCAATTGCACTCCCATCCAGGATTTTTCGATAAGTTTCTTCAGTTCTATCCAATAACAATGGTTTTTATTTTTTATCCTGGTATAAAAACTCTGATGGTTTACTTAGAATTTACATTCACAGGATTTAAATATTCTTAGGAACATGGTTTGTCGTCGTCTAATACTTTTATCTGCATGTTCTACATAACCTATTTGTCATTGTCAGTTTTATTCTTAAATCTCATTTCCCCATACACTAAAGATACTATGAAAACATTTTATACATATGGGAAAATAAAATTTTAACAAAGATGATGCATCTGAAATGTTATGACTATTGATAATACTTTTTTTCGTAGGCATGTTAAATAAAACTTAAAATAATAAATATGAGTGAGTCAAAAAAATAAAATAAAACATTTGAACAAAACTAAATAAACTGCAACAATATTGACTTTTCAAAATCCGAATAATATTATTGTGTATTGAAAAATTAATATTAGTATTAAGTTTTTTGTATTTTATTTCCCAGTATTTTTTACATGCATCGCATAATCTGTTTTCATTTAAAATATATTAATCATAAAAACTTGACATTCTTCACTATTGCATACATTTTTTACAACAGTGTACGCAATTGCCTTGTTTCTTGTAGGCAACCTTCAAATATCGGACGGTGAAAAGACAACTTGCAAACTAGAAGGTGAAACTATGGTAGATTATTGACGGTAATAATAATGATAAATGTTGATATTAGTCCACATTGTTAGTTTGTAGGCCAAACTGATGTAAAGATGTAAAATAGTAATAAATTTTATTCGGCAAAGTCTGACCTAGAAATACTACCAATCTATATCATACACTATGTAGCACAAAATTTGCAGAGGTTAAACTCAATGGGGAAGTCATTTTCATGAATATTAAAGTGAAAATTGTAGCTCTGACGTCTTATCAAAAATCTCATATGGGTAGGTACTAAATAGTTTTATTATTATACGAGTACTTTGTAATTTTAATTGCCGTATAAACTAATTTATTTTGAATATATTTTTCTCTTTAGTTCATGAATATTTAACTTAAAATTTCTTAATAATAAATACACTTAAATTATTTTAAAATTTTAAAGGTTTTTAAAAATATATTGATATTAAGTAATTATATGTAAAGCAGATCATTAAAATTTGCATAGGTTAATTTAAAATTACTTATTTTTAAGCATAAACTATCACTGATATTGATACTAATATCAGAAATAACAACTGATCTTATGAAAACCAAAAACAAAACTTTTTTACGATAATTAATAGAAAAAAATTGAGTTTTTAGCGAACTTAATGCACGCCTTATAAATTAACTGCAGAATAATTACCATAGGATAACCATATCGATCATTTTCTAAATGAGTAGAATAATTATTGTGCTATCATCGTATGTACAACGGCGAATGTAATAATGATTTAATATTCATTAATCTTTATAATTAATACAAAGAGTTTCAATTATTTTAATAAATTCAAAAATTAAATATTTCGTGAAATGAAATAACGAAAAGTTTATGTTGATATACTAGTTCTTGAATATAATAAATTTGTATTGAGTATAGAAACATTTTCTGTTTAAAATTGTATTGCTTAAGTACCTCCCATCATAGTAACATAATAATTTATATTGCAGCATACATATCCATATTGTATAAAATAAAAATCGTTGTTGCTACAATAATAAATTAGTAGATTTATATTTTTTTTACATTTAAATTATTATACAATTTTAGTAACACGGCAATGTGGATAGGCAATATGGCTACATCAATGTCGTGGATTAATATTTTTACTGAAACCCTCTTATAGTTATGATAAAAAACAAAATATGAAAAGTCTAAGCCACAAGTAATCCAAATTCAAATAGTTGTAATAACATATTGAGCAAAAAATATTATTTTTTTTTTTTTTTTTTTAAATACAACACGACATTAAAATATCAAATTGATTCATTATTCGTGTTATTTTTATTATTATGATTCGTAGCATAAACGATAAAATAATCTCATAATATTATAAATAACCTGAAACTGGGTAAGAATTTTTTGTGAAGAGTAACAAGAAAATTAAAAAATAACATAAACAGATTTATTGTGTAGTTATTTATATTATCCCATATTATATAATAACATTACTGTTTCATATATGTAGATAATTTATAATACTGGACTTATAAAAAACATAATATTTTTTTATTTTTTATTTTTTATTTATGGTACAGCTTCAAATACTAAGGTTATTAGCTTACAACAAAAAATGAAAGTATTTGGTTTAGTACATAATATATTAATACAATGGTTCCTAAAATTAGATTGTATATATCTGTTTGTTTTAGATTACAATAAATAGTATAATAGGTCCTTAAGTTGTACATATTAATTTGTTTTAAAAATGAGATTATTTTATTGGTATTGTCATAGGTTGGACTGAGGGCTTCAAAGAGATTTTCGGGCAATTCTAGACTTTTTCGGCTATTTATAAGATTACGACAGTTGACCAGGAGGTGCTTGACTGTGAGAAGTTCTCCGCAAGTTTAACATATTACAGGTTCTTTTCTGCGCATAAGAAAAAACATTATAGTATTATACTAAAACATTGAATGGATATTGTTTGTATAATTTGGCTGTAAAATTTATCACATTATCATAACTTATTATAATATTCTCGAAATCATTAAAAAATGCTAGGTTGTTAAATTCTTTTCCTCGAAATATTATTTATACAAGTGTCATCTAGATAATAATAAAGAATACTTTTTTCACTAAATAACTTTTTAAAATATTTGTAAACTATTTTAAACATTAATAAAAATAATTGAATAAAATACTTATTAGTTATTAGAAACATTTACATTTAATATTATTTTCCTTGATAGATCGTTAAGGTACTTTTCAAAATATTAAACTATTCAATAAAAATATAATAATAAAAATAGTACATTCAATAAACATATATTTATATTTTATATTCAATATTAAAATTATTTTTAAATTTCTTTTTAATTAAACCCATATTTATTAAAATAAATTATTTAATCAAAACAATAATACGTATTACTTATATCAATAATTATTATTTTAAATACCATTGTATAAAATCAATACTCTTAAAATAGCATTTCTAGAAAATAACGATGGTATTTCTAAGATAAAATTTTTCACGGTAGTTGAACACACCTAATGATGTACTTTAAGTGCAATCTACAATCTATACCACTTAAGCACAATAAGTTAATATGATACTGATTAGTTATATACTAATTTTAGAAAAAAACACATTAAGTTATATACCTAAACGTGTATAATTGAAACTATTTTCTAGTATTACAAAGTATTTATAAAAAAAATTGAAAACAAAAGCACACTGCTGGAGTCAAACTAAAAGTATATTAAAAATGAGGGAAGTATGTAACCGCTCCTTTGGCGTTATACACAGGAATTGCGAGTTGCGCGTGTAACTTGATATTGTGTAGGTCATTGTAATGTATATGTTAAATTTAAACTTAATGAAAAATCATTAAGTAAAAAAAAAAATTCTAAGCAGAAACGGTCTATCAACCTATTATCTAATAAATGCATTGCTATTAATAATTTAAAAATGATATACATTTTGAAAAAATATTATTATTTACAGAAAAATTCGTATCTAAATAATTCGAAGAAATATCAAGTATTCATAATAAATTATTTGTTTTTAAGTTAAACAAAGAAAAAAAATCGATTTTGTCCAACATTGGTTTCGGATATAAATTTTTGTTTTTCTTAATTTTTTTTTTCTGTTATATACAAAATTACTGAGAATTTATAACTTTTGACCTTCTAAATTTAACTTCTAGATTTTATTTTTAACTTCCTTCAAAATTTAAAATTTATGTATTTTTTCTATTAAATATAAATCATGTATACACAAAACAAAAACTTAATATCTCAAAATTTAAAATTAAATTTAAATTTCGTAATTATAAAAATTATCAGTTGTCTACATAATCAACTGAGACTATGTTAAATAAAAAGTTACTTCTCCGCGAAAATAGTTTTAAACGAATTAGAATATTATACTATTTTACGCACATTTATAATTATTATAAATAAGTAGGTACACTTAACTACTGGTCTACACATTTGTGTAAATAAAAAATTAATCACTTATAAACTACAACAAATTAGTGGTATGCTTTTATTAAACCGGAATCACGTCTAATAGCTTTTATTGACGAACTATGTTAATTAACAAATATATGACATATTAAATGAATAAATATGACATGTTGACACGCATTTGCATTTAGAAAGGTACGAATAAATTGAAGAAATAAAAACAAAAATAACACACAAGTATTGATATAAATGATAGAAACCATTTATAATACGCCTATTACATTATGCTCTTAATGGATTGATTCGTGGGAAACATCCGAGTATCAAGTGATGGTAATACATTATTCGAATTGTGACTTTTTTTGTTCCAGGTGACCGCATGGATGTAACTATTTATTAGTAAATGGACACGTATCGATTGTGACGTTGTAGTCGGATCGGACTTTATGAAAAGGTAAGCAAAATGCTTTTAGTGATAAACCTTTCGGTTGTCTGTATGTGTGAGGGGGAAGAACGGGTGGGTACACTATAATACAGGTACGCACCTAGCATAACCGTATACTGTATAGAAAACCAACGAAATAATTTTTACTTCTTCTTTTTTTTATTTTTTACATTATTCTTTCAAATACACTTTATTTTGGTTGTGTTATAAACATCTGATGTTCAAAAACAATAGACGAGAAACTCTTTAACGAAACGTGACACAAATAATTATTTGATAACTTCCACCCTTATAAGTATATAACTTTGTACAGTTTGTGGGGTGCACGACTTGGAGAAATATAAAAAGACCGTCTCGATCCAACTCTAAACTATATTACCAAAATTGTTGGAAACAATGATGTTGATAAAATTATATGTAAAAGACAACTTAATATTCTATTGCTTTTGGTTTACAATAAATACTATTGATTAGCTATTTTGTACTGTTCGAAACCACAACGCCCTCACGCAAAGATTTTTAAAACTTCCATAAACTCATTTTATTTTTATTTGAAATTTTTTATTTTATAACAGTTCATAGTTACAGTTGTAACTTAACTACTTATAAATTTAATTAAAATAAAATTTAATTTATATACATTAAGTAGTTAGTGATATTGCTATAAACTGTATAAATTTAAATGTAAATCAATGGCGAAATACTAACAAGACTATATAGTATATTATATACTAATAATATAATATTACTAAATCCACAATAGTTGTAATAATTTATATAAAATATATTTATTATTTTTGTCGTTAGTAATTCATTTATTTTATTTATATCTACGAACTATAAATAAAGATCAATCAAATTATCTATTAATAACAACTTATAAACCATTAAAGTATACAACCGCTATTTAAAATTATTATTGAATAATGAATAAATGATAAATCTATAATTAAAACTTATAATATATGTATTAGAATAGTTTGCAATAAAATCCAATACAAAAAGTTAATATTCATATGTATTTGATATAAGTAGATATATATTTTGATTAATTGAAATGTTTCAAGTAGGTAATACAAATAAAAAATGTTCTGACTGTAAAAATAATTACATGGAACTTAAAATTAAAATAATCATAATAATAACACGGTCAGTAAAAAGTAATTAGTGACTTATTATGTTATTACACTTAAAAGCAATAATAAATCATCGCATATTATTAGAAAAACAATTCTAAGTAGAATTTGACTTATAATTTATTTTCTTGTGTAACGTCTTTAAATTCATTGAATAATTATAATATATTTTACAGTCGTACGTGTTACGTGAATAATCATATATCAAAATGTCAAGTCTTAGTAACTAATTTAACAAATCATTTAATAAGAATTTAAATACATTTTTATATCATTACAAAACAGAATTTTTACTAAAACTTTTTTTATCATAATCATTTTCAATGTTTTTATTTTTGAATTAAAACATATTATAATTTTTTATTACGAAGCAAAATATTTTTTGGAATATTTCAATAAATAAATTTTCAAAACAAGCTGTTATAAAATTAATTATAAGTATTTCAAATTTAAATGAATGGTATAAAATAGCATAAGGGTTCTTTGTAAAATATTGCTCTAATACTCCGCTCATCTAAGTTAATACATTTTTAAAAATGTTTAGTTATATAACTTTACAATAAATTCAATAGTTGACTGCTCATTTGAAATTCGATTTTTATGTATCGAATTACTCCAAAAAATATTCTGTCTTAGAGTGTTAAATTAAAATTGTATGTAGTCGTTCAAAAAAAAAAAAAAACTTAGAAAAAAGACTGAAATAATGAATATAGACACTTAAATGGATCTCCTTTAGAACTACATTCTATAAATGAAACTTTTAAGTGCTTAATTTTATTCTTCTATCCAAACACATTATCGTAATACTAATATTTATTACTCAAACTTCGCTCATCTTAGATTCTAAAATTAACGAAAAATTAGTATTTAATGTTGAAAGACAAACTTTTTAATAAAAATATACGCATATTATACTGAAAACCTTTATATTGTATTTTTATCTATATTTTGTTACATATTACAATTACTAACAGATAAAACTCAGATACATTGTGTGTAGTGGAAAGCGAGGTTGTTCCGTATGAAAGGCAAAATTATATGATATGATTTTCTGAACATTGAGAAGATAGAAAATAAATGATTGACGTTTATTTATCCATGGCCGTATGTTTATTATTATCAAAAACTATTAAACTCATTAAACTTCCTATTATCATAAAATATGTATAATGACTATTTCATTTTCATTATAATTAATAATGTTTATACTTCAGTTTGTTTGATGTAAAAGAAAACTGTGTCAAATTACAAAAAATTAAGTAAAGATTACTTAATGATATAATTTGGAGGAATATTACTTATACTTTTTACTAAATTATTATTTATTTAAAGACATCAACTATGGGACAAAACCGTATACCATACACCAGTCTATTATTAGTAAAAAACTGATATCAAGCATTATGCAAGCTATCAATAAATGATAATTACTCAAAAAAATAAATATTTATCAACACTAAATATCAATTAAGCATAATAATCACTCTAACAGTACCTAAAATAATTCTTTGCTTCATATTTCCTCGCTATGTGAAAACGCCCATGATGCTTGTATTTAATAAGTAAATTAATGATATAATTATTGTATAAAAAAAGGATTAATTTATTATTATAAAAATTTTGTCAAGGATATTGTGTATTACCAATTAATAATTCTCCTATTTTAGATTAGTAAACCATCACACAATTTTGCCCCAAGACTACTATGGTTTTTCCTCATTTATGGAGGGAAAATCGCATTTTTAAGTACTTTCAAAATTTGGATTTTTATTTAAGTTTATGTTCGACATTTTTAAAAATGCTTAAATATTATTGAAACTAACAATATTTGTAATATAATTATGCAAACCAAATAAAAATTTTTAAAAATTTGTAAATTTTACAATGCTTAGAAGTTGCAGCTCTATTCATCTTACTCTATACAATATCTGTGTGCTGTACGTGATATATATAAATAGGTATTTATTATACAATTTAAATGTATTATTTATTAATATAACTATTTAATAAGCCACACAAAAAAACAACAATAGTTTATCATACACTTAAGTTTATTAAACTCGTAGTAAAAAAAAAAAAAAGGAATAAGGGAATATCATTAACATTTATTTAAAGCTACTAAAGTCAACATTAATTCATTTATTTTTTAGATCACAAATAGCATATTTTTCGTTGATAAATATTGTTTAAACACCTTGAAATTCATTTAATAGGCCTTTGTTATTTAATTAAAACTATGGTGAAAAATGATGATTACCCTTTTTAAATTATCATAATCATAATGAAAAATGTATAAATTTAATATAAGTCTCGAACAATTTGGTTTCAAACTTATTATATAAAATTATAACGTGCATAATAACTATTATTTTTCTAATGAAAACTGTTATTTGTTTCAAAAACGTGATATTAAACATAATAGTATAAAATTTGAAAATGTTTTATTTAGTAGAAAGTTTATAAATACATAAGGTTTTTATTATTAAAGAGTCATTATTTATGATTAGATCCTGTCTAATACATTCGTAATAATTTTTATAATACCAAAAATACATAATATTGCAATGTATTTATAAATTAAATTTCTACAGTTATGTTTAATAATATAATACGAACAACTGGCTATTCAAAATAATAATCTTATTAATCATTATTATCTTAAGTATATTTTACATTCATTTTTATTTGGTTAATATATTATTTAAGCCAATGGAATAACTGCAGGCAATTAAATATAAAATATTAATTTATGTGTTACAAAATAAAAACTAGAATATATTTTCAGTACTTATACTCAATTAGAAACTTACAAGCAAGATTCCTATAGATTTAACAAAATAAATTCAGAAACAGATTCAATCTGTTTATCTTAAACAATAATTATGAAACTTTTACCTTAAAAATATGTATGAGTGGTAAAAAAAATTATTAATTTGTAACCAATATTGTAATTTATGAACGAGAAGTAGAAAAAATTTTATATTTAATACAATAAGGATTTACCATAAAATTATAAATTTAAAATTAAAAACCAGTGAAATTGTTTAAAAATATAGTAGATTTCAATAATACATTATTATTGAATAAGTCACTATAATAGATGTATTAAATTTGAGTTCAATGATAAATTATTGCTATATACAAAAAGTTAATTTGAAAAGAGATGAGTGACAGCCTATATTTCTCAGGATATTTTATAACTTAATTTTCGATTAATAGTATACTAGTCCGGTATGATGAAGTGGAACTATTTTTTAGCCTAAAAAATAACATATACTCGTATTACCTATCTTATAATTAATTATTATAATATTATACCAAATATTATTGTTATTAGCTTATAAATCTTGGTAATAATAACATAAAATTCATCTGAATCTTTTGAAAATTTAATTATGTACATAAAAAAATAACATACATAATTATAACAATTGTTAAACCTCTACGGTTAATAATTTTTAGTTAAAATATAATCACAAAAATTCTTGGAGAATAAATCGTTATTTTATGTTTTAATATTCAATATCGTCAAAATTTAAACTCTAAAAGTTCAAACGCTTGTAAACAATAATGCTTTTGTAGTTTTACATTTATTAAATTCTGTAAGAATAACTTACGAAAAATATTATAGTATTAATTATTAACATTATTTTACTTAGAAACAAAAATATTATCGTACATAAATCAAAAAAAAAAAAAAAACTGAAAATAGTTAAAAATTTAAAGATCTATAAATAACACAAATAGAGTCAACATATTTTTAAAGTAATATAATTTCCAGAAAATACTAACTTAAATATTTTTTGAATGTTTCAATTCCTTTTTTGGTATTACAACAAAAAATCTAATCTGTTTTGTCGAAAATCAATGTTG